ACTTTCCGAACCATCATTCTTACCACAAATCTTCTTTAAATTTTGAGCCTTTTTTTTTCCTCATGATGTAAGAAAGGCCCAAGAGATGAGTACTTTTCTAGGCTTCCCTCGGTTTCAAATAATTCTTGGACCTCATTTGAATTTAAGTCAGTCTGGCATGAGTCAATATCTTGTTCATTCATACCAGGAGTAGAAGAAAATAAAACATCACAACGATATACCGTGGTCAATCTTATATCAGATATCTTTCTAGATCTCCTGCATGCCTTCTTCAAAATAGCATCTCGTGCACAATTTTTGTGACGTGTCAAACTTCAGAGCTTTGACGGACTTCTTGAACTGATCTTCACCATCCCCAAACTGAATCAGGCTATCATTAGAGCAGCTTGGATGCATCTAGAGCTCCAGATGTTTTATCATTTTCCTCCAGATAATCAACTGATACATCTCCTGGAATCTCAATAGGAATTTCTGCATTGCACAAAGACATTTGTTTACCAGAGCTTGGAGAAATTGTGTTGCTATCTTGGTGAGGAGAAGCAGATTCAAAACCCTGAAGCATGTCGGTAACATCTCCAGAAGCAACAGGATCAACGCATCTAAAACTACCTAGCTGGCCATAGGTGCTATTTGATCCACACGCATGGGATGAAGCCATATGCAAACCTTTGACCTCGCAACCAAAAGTTTCTAACCTGTTAGTAGTATCTACCAAACACGTAACTTCTTGATCAGCCATATTAGACACATCTTTCGGACAGCTCCACTACTCATTTCACCATAGAATTTTGACAAACTTCCATTTCCAGAGAGCTCGTCAATTTAATTAAAACTCCTCTCGGGAGCTGTCAATGAACTTTCAGCAGCCAGAAAAGAATCACAATAACATATTGGCATCTTTCCCAGAGAACATAAATTTCTCGTAGTACCTCTTTTTCGCTGTGCCAAAACAGTATCATTTTTCTTGTTATTTTCAATAACTAAACTTCTTCCTGCTTTAACCTCACCTCCCTTTCTTAATGAACCAATCTTCCTATTAATAAATACAACAGTTACAAAGGGGTCTAATAGAGTCCAATGTCGAGCCAATGCATTTGAATGTTTGCCTGGTTAACTTCTTTGTCGATATTCAACAATGTCTCTAATAGATCTTACCAGAACTCGATCATATCAGTCTATTTTTACCATCACTTTCCAGCACGTAGTCACATATATTAGCCAACAAAACCTGACCGCAAAAACTCCAAGCTTTAGGGAATTCATGAAATAGTCTCCCATCAGGTGATCTATAAACTGTATCCCAATAACTCCTACTGGGTCTTTTATGCCTCTCTATAGACCAGCCTGCTCCTTTTAGTACATGAAAAGCATGCCTCTACAGAAGACGAGTATCCTTCTTAGACTGGGTTGCCCCAGAAATAACAGAACCGTCCACTCCAAATGATTTACATAAATTGCTTCTTTCCTCAGCACAAAAAGGAGACTCAAACTTCTCCACAGCAGTTGCTGGACTTGAAACAACAAGCATCGAAGCAAAACTCTCCTCAGAGACAGGTGATGCAATAGCTTTACCCAGTACCACTTCTTTTCTTTCACTTGCGTCTGAATCTTGTATTCTGGACTTACTAACATGTATATGTTCCATTTCAACATCCCTGCACATTTCTACAGAAGATTCAACCAAATGGAGTGTAGCTCTCTGACAAGCAGAATTTGTAGATGTTGAGGCCAAGCCAAGAATTATTTCCTTATGCCGCAACGATGCATTCAAAGCCTTTCTCTTTTGTGCTTCATCCATGGAAACTTCACCAGTGGAAAACTTCATTCGCTTGAAACTCACATTCTGGTCCTCTCCCTCTGCCAGAGCAAATCTTTCAGGAAAGCTCCCTGATGCAGAAACCCAGCCACAACTCTCATTTTTTGTATTGGTATCCTCCTTGTATAACATTTTTGAGCTAGATCGGCTTGTTACAGACGAGTTTCCACTGTTAGAACACTGTGATGCTTCTGGATTCTTGCTACTCTCAAAATTAACAGCTCCAGTAACAAGACACCTTTTACTTCTGCTGCCAGTATCATTTCCAACGAGAACTTCCGTAAAATTCTTGTGCTCATCTAGCGACCCCTCAAAACCATCATCACGCAAATCTTCAAAATCTGTACTGAATGACATCTCTGCTAAATGCAGTCTCACTTTGGCCGATCTATATGCCAACAATAAGATCAAGCATTAGATATTTTCTGCCATAACAAATGCTTAACTAACCATAAAACCTAAATGATCTTAAAACATTAAAAATGTAAAATTAAATTTTGAGGGGTATGATGAGATTTGCTAATTCTGCAATAAAGTAGTAGCATAAATGAACATTAAAGTCAATGAAGAAAATCCATAAATACGAAATAAATCAAGCCATAAGTAACCAAGTAGAAAAATCATAAAGAAATATAAAACAGAAGAAACCTAAAAGCATGTTATGGTTTCTATGTTTATGTTCTGCATAAAGGAACCATACAAGACAATAGCAAAGAAAACTGCCATAAGTTTCCTCCATGGAGATATTCAAAATGCACTATAACACATTGAATGATGATCAGTAAACAGAATGTCTAGCTAAAACAGAGCAATAAATAGTAAAGATACTAAAGATGCATGGAAACATAAAACAAACATATGAATGGTGATGGCACTCAATCGATACCATGATCTTTAATTTTCAATAATTTTAATTTTCAACCAATTTGGAATGTGGCAACACTGCATTGGTTATCAGTGTAACATACATATATTCGTCACCAAATTTGTTCAATATGCGAATCAATCCATTGAGGATTCTTAAAGCTTTTCCCAGTATCATACGTGAGTCCTGATAGTTTATTTCATACATAAAGATTTCAATAGTTCAATTTCATTGTTAACTAACATATAGTTCAAACTATACACTCTTTTCGTGAAGCCTCTAAAGCATTTCCCAATCCCCTACCCTCCTATTCTTTCTACTCAAAACAATGAACTAGATATGGAAGATTGAAAAGGCAACAAACTTCTTTCACTCAGAAAATGCCAAATAATTCAATTTGACTCGAAGTTCAACTCCAACCATTGATACTTGGGTGACGTTTCCTCCTTTTTGCACTAGAAATAACAGAAATATTCGATCACTATTGCCATTATTAATTTATTATGCATGCCTACATTATGAAACCGACTAGCCTCCTATTCCAGGTCATGGGGAAACAAGCTGTATATCACAAAGGAAATAGAAAACACAGATAATCAAAATGCTCATACTCTTACTGCAACGAAATCCAAATTCGAACCACAAGCAATATAGAGAAGTACTTGCACTGTGAAGTAGAAAATCAAATGCTCATTCTTAGCATCTTGAGAAATGGACGAAAAATTGAAAATATAGATGAGCATGTATTTAATTTCATGTCATTAGTTCATTACCAAGAATAGCAGAACCCAGTAATGCATCAGTTAAAAGAAACGACAGATGTATTTTTTAATTTCTTTAATGTTTTAGTCAAACTTTTAAATTTTTCATCACAATTTATCAAGCATCAAACATGTATAACCTGGGCATAAAAACAAAACAAGATCGTCAGAAATGCTAAATGAAAATCTGAAATGTTCTAGGACCAAGAAAAGCAAACAAGATTCAGATCAAAACCCAGAACCCAAAAACAGAAAATAAAAATCACATACATTAATCCAATACCAATCGCCCAAACACCCAAAATTTTATCCAAAAGCAAAACCCCAAAAAGAGAGCTCACTCTATAATGCATGTTCTGATCAACATGCAAAAGTAAGCAAACTTTAATGTAGGGTTGAAGAGCTGAGAAACTGAAATATTTTCATCTTAAAAAAAAGGGAGAGAGAATCATAACATAAAGATATTAAGAAAGCAGAAAATCAGGCTTTTTTTTTTTTTTTTTTTTACTTTTTCCTTTGGCTTCATCAGCTTAAAATATAAAGGAAACCCCAAGTTTTAAAACTGGTGAGGCTTTGAAAAAAAACCCGAATAGTGTTCCACTCTGTAACAGATGGCAATGGCAGAGAAAATTACATAAGATTAAAAGAAATTTCCTCCGACTGATCTTTTCTGCCTTGTAATCTATACTTCTCCCTTTCCACTATGCTTTTGTCATTGCTTTTTTATTATATTTTCAGTCACCATTTTAGTTGTATAAAATAAAAATAAACAACCGTTTTAATTAAATAAATAAGATTCACTCACATACATGACATTAATATTTGCAGTTACAATCAAATATACCATCTTTGGGTGATAATGGTAACGAGTGATATTGTAATATTTTCCCCCTTCAAATTCGTTTATTATAAAAACACTCGAATGAATACTTAAACAAATTATAATATTACATGAAAATCCAGTAAGTCAACAATGGCCGAGTCCCCCTCCTGACCGAGTTGGAGACGATAGCAGCGATACATGAAACAGAAGAATTACAGGGCAATAGATAAAGCAACTTCCATCCATGTTTTTCCCTGAACGAAAATTAAATACATTTCTTTTATGGGGATCTCATCTTCAGTTTTAACAGTGGAGATATGAAATTTGTCTAAGAAGACTTGTTTTACAATCAAGAGGTTTTTTAAAAAAGTATTCCTTGAATCCCTGTAGTTTAACAGGTTTCTTCAATACTTTTAAATATGGCTGCAAGAAGAAGAAGAAGAAGAAGAAGAAGAAGAAGAAGAAGAAAAACCCTGTAAAACTGGGCAAAGATCAGAAGTAGTAACGTACCCATTTGAGAACTGAAATGCTACAAAACAATGGAATTTGTTTGTCAGCTACTGTGTAATGGCATCACAAAAGAGTAGAACAGAATTGAAGAATATCCAACAGGCTTTACTGTGATTTTACAAGTACATACTAGTTTCAATAATATCATGGGGAAGCATCAGAAAAACTCTATATCTCAAAAATGAAGAAGAAGATAGTGCAAAGCATCCACTAAAGAAACCATTGAATGAACACATATCATCCATAGGAGTAATAGAAGCTAGTAAATGGGAAATCACCTTCTGTATGATACACCATGCTTTGATTTTGTTTAGAGAAACAAACATTTTTGGAGCTTACTCTTCTAGTCTTGTATTATATGAGAGAAAGGATGATGAGACTGCTAGAATCTTTGCAGAGATTGGTTCTGTTCTTCTGCTTTTGGCTGCTTTGATCTGCTCCGCAAGAGGAACTTCTCTTTGCATTTTCTCTCTCTTTATAAGGTCTATATTCAATTTCTCCAGGGCTTGGACATGCGCTCTGTCTCCTTGAATACTGACTTGACTACTTATGGATTTCTTTTTGAGGATCTAAGGATGGAAGTTATTATCATAGAGAAAATGAGTTAAGCAACCTTGAAAATAAGTGATTTATTATAGGCCAACTACTAACTATAGTTCTATAAGCTCAAGTCCTTTGCAAGCTACATGCCTCTAATTCAATAGGATGACAACAATAAGAACATGGCACATATTCAGGCAATTTTATCCATTCTGTGGGAAACTAGAGAATTACATGTTACTTTCTGAAACAGCCTTATTATTTATGATTGGCCAAAAAATTAAGAGTTATGAACCTATCCACAAAGAACATTAAGCTCCATGCAATGACATCTATGAACAAGCAATAATTGCTACGTTAAAATTTCTGCAGGTTGGAGGGTTCAAATCTAAGTCTTTCTGAGGTTTCTTACCATTTGTAGTCTCTGCTTAAGTTTCCTCCCTTCGGGGTCTGCCACTTTCTCATCTTTCTTTGATTTTTCTTGCTTCTTTCTCTTTAATTCTCTTGATTTTTCTCTCTCTTCTGCTCTTTTCTCCTTGCCATCCTTTCTGCTCTTGCTTTTTCTGCTCTTACCTTTGCTATCTCCTTTCCCTTGGCCTTTTCTGTAGCCCACTGAAGCTGTTCAAGAGCTATTTCTTGTTTTATCTTATCATAGCTATCCCATTCTAGCTCCGCCTGATCACTCCCTCCTTTCCTAGCAGCTTCAGCTATACTTTCCATCCACGATAGAAAGAATATTTCCCCTAACCGTTTCCATTTCAAACGCTTGCCCCAAGCATGCCTCACTGAGGACCCAATTCTTGCCTTGCTTTCCTCACTGCAGGAATTATAATATCCTCTATTTCATGATCTTTAGAAGTAAGGTTTATTGTAAACTGTTCAACCTATTTTGATATAACAAATTTAAGGGTAAAAAGTTTTTGGACTAAATTGAATTTATTAAAAGTTTTTAAAAATAATTCAAAGTCCATAAAACTTGAATTCGAACACAAAACTGTTTTCTAAGCAAGAAGTATCGATATTGTGCTTACAGTATTGATACCACATGAATAGTACCGATATTATTCTTGTAATATCGATACCCAAGGTAAAGAAAGTATCGATATTCTCATGGCAGTACCGATACTGCCCTTTGGTTTTAAATGTGTTCAAATTCCGGTATGCAAAATTGGTATCGATATTGTTCGAGTATCGATACTAGTATCAATACTGCAAACCCTAGTATCGATACTCCCTGTCCAATGGTCATATAACAACTAGTTTTTATTAGAGCAGTATCGATACTCATAGCTCGAGTGGCGATACTCCCTGGTCCGGACATTTTTATTTTGTAGAAAATTAATCACCAACGACTCCAAAACATCCAACGGCTAGAAACGTCCAAAAACACATTCCAACATATATAAACAAGTTGAGGACACTTAAAGAAGGTTACAACACCTATCCAAACAATCCACATCAAGAGAAAAACTCTTTCATTCTTTTTTTTTAGGAAAAGGATCTCGTTAAAAAACCCCTTCTTAACCGTCAAGCAAAGTTCTTTCAATCTTATTTTTTTCCTTCTCTTCTATATAAGTGTTTTTGTGAGCTTAAATTGTAAACTCCTACCTTTTAGAGTTTTTCTTGTTTACATTTCTTTATCCTTTTATAAAAGGGGTTGTAGATCTAGTTTAACCATTGAAAACTACAAAGTTGTAAAAAGTTACTCTTGAGCCTAGAAAAAGAAAAAACAATTAGTGAATTGTTAGAAAATCCTTAGTGTAGAGCTAAGGTAGTGGATGTATACTTAGTTGAAAAGTCGAACCACTATAAATCGTTGTGTAAATTTCCTATACTTTCTCTCCATACTCCCAAATTTTTTATTTGACCAATTTACCCTCTCTCAAAACTTTTTCGGTTGATCAATTGAGCTTCAAAAATCCCAACATAAACTTTAACACTGTTTCAAAGGCATCCAAATTCATCTTTAAAGTTAGAAAAGCTCATTCCAAGTGCTTATGAAGAGAAAATGACTAAGAAAGTTGATATAAACTACAGAAAGGATGCATTTTCAGCCAAGAGTAATTAAAATCATTGACACAGTGATCAAAGCTCATTTCCTGGCAACGTTGTTATATTACAAGATAATATTAAAACATATAAGGCTTAGTGCTGGTCCCATTAAATTTTAATACATCATCTAGATGGCATGTATGCGGTGAAAGTTATAGAAAACATAACTTTAGGCTTTAGCTTTTAGATCTAAGGATTTTGAATACACCACTTAAATTTAAAATGGGGAAACCAATTCCATGTCCAATGCTTAATGAAACTCCAATAGCAAATATTTTTGTTAAGTTCTTCAAATGCAAAATTACCTATGAGTTCGGGGATGTTCAGACATCTTCTCCCTAACCTGGAAAACAAGGGATGGGTAAAATTTCAATGAAATAATAATGAAGATAATAAATGATGATGATTTCACCTTTTTGCTGCCAATAGAAAAACTAGCCTCTATTAAAAATACTACTGCTAGAACCTTCTAAAATTGATGCCTATCAATATCAACTGATAATGCTCGATATAGTGAGAACAACTCTTATTTGTTTGTCAACATATCATGGATGCTTACCCCTATTTCAAGAGTAACCATGCGAAAAATAAAAACATCCCAAAACTGCTTCAATCTTATATGACAATAGCATCACCTTGGGATCATTCAAGGCTTCTATGGTTCGTTGCTTGATTCGTAATCGTGTCTCTGCAAGATACAACATTTAAACAAGGAATTCACTGACCGCATAAAGATTGAAACCAAAGAGATTAAGTTAATTTTAGAGCATTGTTACCAGCACTATGTTTCCGGCCTTTGTTCCACGGCCCCTCCTTTATTCGCCAGCCCTATCTTCCTCCTCCTTTGCTCTTCCTTGAAGTCTCATCATTGGAGTATTCCTGAGAGCTACAGAAAACATATACCTGAGCCTCCTCACCCGAGCTTCGAATTTGTTTCGACTTTATACTATCTTTCGACCAACAGCTGTTGCAACATGAATCTTTCCCCAGTACCCATGGAAGTTGCAAGGCTCTAACAGGTTGAAAACTCAAGGAACATCTAAAGGAATCTGAGGAAATACTTTTTCACAACAAATTGATGGTAGTTTGACAGCAATGTGTTTGGTTGGCAATGCATATAATCCACCACAGAGGAAAGAGGCCACGAAAGGGTATCTGGAACATAAAATCTCCTGATAACTCAAATGAAACAAGGTACCAATAAGACGAGCAAAGTTGATACTGTAACTAAAAAAAAGGAAAACTCTCTATAGCATTTGAAACCAGAATTGCAAAGACCAGCCTTTTTCAAATGGTAAACTGAGACTTAAACAACAGGAAATGCAATATAATTCATTCGTATCGTATCTACAGAGAAGTTGAACTGTTATTGACAGAGAGAGGAACTTACAATCGAAAATTTGACATATGTATGATCGTTAGTCAGAATCGAGATTATGGAGCACTGTTATCGGAAATGTGAATGGATTTTGGCTTTACTGAAGAAATGAGCTTTCAGAGTCGATTTGGGAGGGACAAACAGTTGAATAACAACCAGACGTTGAGGATTGCCTTCTTCCACATTTTTCACCCATGCCTCCGCCCTAAAGAAAATTTTTAGGATAAAGTACAGAAATGGTCCCCTCAACTATCGATTATTACTTTATTAGATTCTTTGACTATTAAAGTTACAAAATGGTCTTATGACTATAGACTGTTGTTTGTTAAGTCCTTCAACTATTAAAAGGTACAAAATAGTCACTCTATATATCATTATATACACTCTTGTCCTTTTTTGTTAAAAATTGACGGTTGTTAAGTTGGACGTTAACATGATGAATGTGATATGATAGTCGTGTAATTCTAAGATCATTTTTTTTCATTTACAATCTGTAGGTTAACGTCCATCTCAAAATATCATTAATTTTTAACTAAAAATGATGAGTTTGGAACATAATGAAGAGTCGAGTGACTATTTTGTAACTTTAATAGTTAATGGATTTAATAAGCAACAATCTATAGTCGGAGGGTAATTTTATAACTTTTAATAGTTGACTACTCTATAGTTAGAGGATCATTTGTGTACTTTACCCATATTTTTAATACCTCATTATAACATTTATTATAAATAAAATACATCTCAATGGATTCGATTATTATTCGATATAAATAAAATATTTTAAAACTATAATTTAATTATTTAATTAAAAATATTATTACAAATATATTATCCTATCATTAAAATTAAATTAAATATCTAATATAATGTACATTAATTACTATTAAATTATCATCTAAGACTTTCGTTTAATGGGTTAATTGGAATTAAAGTTTAAGGGATTAAATCAAACATATCAATAACGTAAGAGATCAAACATATTTAATTTTTAAATCGATTAGACTGAAAACAAAAACGGACTATGTATAATTTACCCTATCAATTATTATTAAATATTTTTAGTAAAAAATATTAAAAAGAGTTTTTTTTTTATATTTTAATCATCGAATTTCACTTTCTTAAGCCGTCTAAATTAACACATTAAATCTTTATTCTCTTCAAAAAAGATATGAGAGTAATTGCAAATTTCCAATTAGTAAATTTTTACCTCATAATATAATATATCTTTTTCATAATAGTCAAAATTTCAAATTATCCCTTAAATAATATAAAAATATAAAAAAGTTTTGCATAAATCAAAGTAACCTCTGTTAGTAAATGAATTGTTATTATTCTTTGAAGAATCAAGTTCGAACATCATAGATATCAGAAGTGTGAATAATCAAATATCGAAAGGTTGAGAGTCTGTTAGTAAATGAATTGTTATTATTCTTTGAAGAATCAAGTTCGAACATCATAGATATCAGAAGTGTGAATAATCAAATATCGAAAGGTTGAGAGTGTTATCTTTAAACAAATACAGTCATATATTTATCTCATATTATTAAAAAATTATATATAAAAGTTTGAAGCATTTTGTTTATTGTTGGGTGATAAATAATTCAGTATTTGATCAACCCTAAAGTAATACTTAAATCTCGTTTATGAAAATTAGAACTCATTTTGTTCACTTTCATCAAAAATAGTAACCACAAAATAAGCAAAGGTTACTACCATTACTAATTATATCAGAACAAAATTCTTCTTCTGCAAACTCAAAAGCCATTATTATTACATATAGCTCAAGTTCAACCAGCAAATATTAAACATAAAATACAAGTAGTCCATCAAAGTACTTCATTGAGGTACAAAACGCATCCTTGATCCCTTAACCTAAAAACCCTTTTTGGTTTTTAAGTTAGGATTCAAAAATAGGTTTTACTTTGGTTCCATTTGAGAGTTCTGTTCGAGGCATCCAAATCTAACCGGATTAAGAATGTCGTTTTATGACTAATGTAGTCATAAAACGACATTTCAATACGACGAGATGCCTCCAATCAGACTCCCAGATGAAAGCCTATGCCTCTTATTACATGAAAAGTCATATCCATAACCACACAAATCACCTAAACTAGCTAGAAATGCAGCAAAGTGTTGCCATGGGGAGTACTGAAAGATCAGTCAGGGAACAAACCAGTGCTCACAGGTTGCCCATGGAAGTCCATTGCATCAGCCAACAGTCCTTGAAACCCTCGAATGCCTCAGCACGTACCCTCATGCAAGGCATCCATTTTGTCGCCAATGGCTTGCAACAATTGCGCTCCAATGCGACGAAGTAAGCTCGAGCAATTTCTTCAAGTGGCACATTGCAAACTCGACCTGAAATGATTTGAAGGGCATCCTTAATGGCATCTCTCCATATCAGCATCTTTTTCTCACTGACTTCATGGAGCTTTAGATCCTCCATCTCTTTGATGTGGCACACAAAAACAAATAGATTTTCCTCTTAATATTCGAGTTCTTCACCGAACTCGAAGCCGAACATCGCCATGAATATTGATGATTCTTTCCACAGTAGGTACCAGAGACAATGGAAAACGGTATCCTACAATCGGTTTTTGCTCCCATTGAAGCAGATCATAAAGTCCGGGAAATCGACATTGCTTGCAACATCTTCATCAATTTTCATAAGAAATTCAGCCATGGTGTTTAAGTTTGCTGGACATTCAGAGAATTCATTGGAATTGTTTCGTCATTAGGAAGCGATCATCCACTAAGTCATCCAGCCCCATACCATTCAACTGAAAAAGTAAGTTGGAATATATTTATCTCAAGATTCTTAACACTAAAATATATTATCAATGTATCAAATATGAACTCGAAGATTATTCGAGTAGAACTTATAGATGCTTTCAAAAGAAGTCATAATTTTCCAGATTTTCAAAGCATAGAAGCAATAACCTCTTCATCATGTCCTAAACCAGAGTCCATTCCAGGTTCATCCTGCAAAATATACGGGGATTTTTATCAGTGTCAATTGTGTGCATGAAACTTTCATTAGAGATATGTACTGTATTCGAATCCGGTGGAAAACAAACCATAACAAATTCTGGAACTTAACTCAAAATGGTAAGATTAATTACCTTGATATCAAGACCAAATGAGTATCTTGACTATTCGCAACAATCAGATCCTCAAGTTCCTTCTGCAAAACATTTGTTCTTCACTACTACTTATTTTGCACAACAAGAACCAAGAAAAAAAAAAGTAGAGCAGAATAGTGAAACTTTATCATCAAAATAGATTCCTTTACCTGGTGATTCTTGCTCCATTTTCGGCTTGCATATTGCCTTTCAATTTTCCTTAATTCCCTTTACAATTCCTTGTTTTCTGTTTCTTTAAAACCAAGTGAACTGCAATTTTATAATGCATCACGGAGCCAATTGATCGTCTCGCCTGTAAATCCAATCTTTTGCAGATCAAAATATTGAAAACCCAGATTAGATTTTTCTTAACAAATTTACAAAAATAAGAGCAAAAGAATTCAGTCAACCTTAAACCTCAATTCTAGAAGAAGAAAAAGCTTGGAATGCAGGAAAAAAGATGAACATACAAAAAACAAACCCAGAAAATCTTTAGAGAGAACAAAGAAAATGAGAAGAAATGATCAAGGAAATTGAATACTTTGCTGATTTACAATCCCGAAGCCAAGCTGCAAAGGAGCTCCTCTATACGCTACTCTTTTTCCACCACAACTGCTTACAAAGTCATCCAAATCAAAAGAACTGTCATGTCTACAACAAATAGTCCAAATTAAAAAAAGCAAACTTTTTTGTTTAACTTGAACCATTCGATTTGATCCCAAGGAGATGATCTAAACCGTTGGATTCTTAGATAATGGGAAAAAGAAAAAGAAAGAAAAGGTACATGCTTTTGTTTAACTTGGTTTAGTGTACTACAGTGTATTTCGATCGCGCGATCAGCCTCGAGTGATCGAACGTTTTGACTCACTTTCGCGTTGCTTACTGCGTAGGTCGGCGGTCGTCCTGTCTGATGTGGAAAGTTTCTTCCTCAATCTCCATTAAAGTATTTTCTGTTGGAATCTCCTTAAAACCAAGAATTATTGGTTTTCAAGGCTTTTTGGAGTGTTATTTTTGCTGTTAGTGCTATGATTTGATGGAGACTGAGCTAAATAATCTTGGAGCTTATTTTTGGCTGCTTTAAAGAACACGCATGAATACGATACGTATATAATATAAAAGTTTACTATCTAAGTTATTTAAGGGTAATTTACCAGTGACTATTCATATAACTCATTTATTTTGGCCATCATTTTTATTTATCAATCGGATCATCTAATTATTTAAATACAATTAATCAAGATACTTGTCGTTAACGAAAGTTAACGTGACAGTTATTAAATTGGTATAATTTATATTTGATTATTCTTACTTATATATTCTATTAAGTTAGTCCTAATTTAATAAATTAAAAAAAAACTAATATTCCAATGGGATGGGTCATGTGACACCCTCTAGTGCAAAGAAAAGAAGTAAAGGAATCGAATAAGTCTCTTGAGTGAAAATAAGAGAGACCAACTGTTGAGCCAAACCATAGGTTTGGTTAAAAATAGATACATAATATATATATATATTGGTCAAGATTAATTGTTTGGAATCAAATCCAAGCACATTGAAAAATAAATTATTTTTATCTTAAATTCATATATTAAATTTAATTCAGATGTTAACATTAAAAATATATTCTTATCTTAAATTATATTTAAAATATATTTTTATTTAAAATATATTTTAAATTTATGAATTTAAGATATATATGAAACATATATTAACATTAGATATATTTTATTTTAAATTTATGAATTTAAGATATAAATATATATATTAAATATATCTTAACATTGAAAAATAAAAATATATTCAAATAGATGAATTTAAATTCATAAATTTAATATATATCTATTTTTATCTTAAATTCATAAATTTAAAAAATATTAAGTTAATATGTATTTAAATATATATATATATATATATATATATATATATATATATATCTTGAATTCATAAATTTTTAATATATTTTAGCCAAGGAGTCTAAGATATAAGATATATATTTCACGTCTATTTTGAACTAATCTAATAGCTTGGCCCAGTAGTTGGTCTCTCTTCTTATCACCCAAGAGACTTGTGTTTGATTCTCCTTCCCTCCTCTTTGTGGTCTAATTTCTTTCCACCATCTAATTGGTAGAAAATGAATACATTAATTAAAATAAACAAATAAAGTTAATCATCAAATTAAATGGTGAGGCGTGGCGTTAGCCCATTGGAAGATTAATTTTATTTTAATTTATTAAATTAAGAGCAAATTGATAGAATATATAAGTAAGATCGACCAAATATGTAATTATACCAATTTACTAACCACTAATCAGCCAATTCCGTTAACTGTTAATGACAAATGGCATGATTGAATGTATTTAAATAGTTAAGTGACTCAATGACAAAAATTCAAAAATGGTGATCAAAATGAAAAGAGGTTATAGTTTGGTGGTCACTGATATAGTTTACCTTTATTAATTCAATATAAATGTCATATTCGAATTCAACCAAAGGCCCAAACGGTCTAATTCTGGATAACATAACCTCCTGAACCCGAATCAAAAAGCATGCCCATATGTCCTTGTTTTCTCTTTCAACTTATGGATGGATATTTAATCTGACTATAATAAATTTTGAGTCGAATAAAATCTTATATGTGTTTTAAAATAAAGAGGATATGGGAGAGAAAATAGATATATATTATATTTCTTATTTCAATATTTGATGAGTACATGAACCACATATATATAGGGTAAGGAATGCTTTCTAATAATTATGATACATGTGAAGAAGTCATTTGACATTTCATCTTCTCAATTAATTGAAGAATGCTAAAAGCCACATTAACTATAAGGGTAATAATAGCATCCACATAATATATTCATAGCATCCACTATAAGGGACAAAAACCTAGTGAAAAAAAATTACATAATTATACGCTTGACATGCTGCCTCATTAAAAATCTTACCTAGAAAACCCAGTTGGATAAAACCAATGTGAAGGGAAAAAGAGTTTAGCACGTGTTTACTCCCCCTAATGGCTACATCACTTAAGATCTCTAAGGTGGCACATTCAAATATAGCGTAATAACTTCTGCAACACAAATGTATGAAGCGCCTTAAAGAATAAATTTGTCAAATTCTTACTTGAATTTATCTGATTAACCTTTATATCTTCAATTTTTTGAAGGTCATGAATGAAGAAGAATTTAGGTGCAATGTGTTTTGTTCTATCACCTTTGATGTACCATGTAACACCCCAACCCGTATCAGACCCGGATACGAGTCCGAGATGTCACATTGACATTTCAAAACCTTTATTCTTTCAAAATAACAGAACATTTGAACTTATATTAAGAAAATACGATCATATATTGTTGAATTGTGTTTGTTATAAAATTTTGAGGCAAAAACATATTATGAAACATAAAATACGGTATGAACAGTACCCTGCTACAGTACCCGAATGTTAAATTTTCCAGATTGTCATAGGGGAACCGATTCCCCTACTACAGGAACTGATACCGTGCTACAGTACTCCGTAAAATACGTATGAACTCTTAAAATTTAAAACGTTCATTTCTATATATTTACCATTTACAAAAATACGTTTAAAATTACAAAACTCTATCAGAGCGTTTCTAATACAAATCCTTTTATTATATGCCAACTAAATTTTTCTAACAAAACATATAATTCGATCTACATTTTGATCTGATCTTCTGTAAGGAGAACTAACCTGTCTTGTTCCACTTTACTTCTCTTATCACTTTCCAAACCTACGTGTGAAACAATCACACACTAAGTCGATGAATTAGTGAGGCATATAAAACATATAATAACTATATAATAGTTCATATAAACAAAATGCATACATGTACATATACCATCATATTTCTATTCATATATCAAATCACACATGTACATATATGATTATCTTCTCCCTTATATTATCATTATTATCGTTAATACCTTTATCATATCATCATATACTTATCATGTATACCCATCATATATCATTTCATAAAGAAATACACTTACCATTATAATTCATGTAATACAGTTCATATAACTAAAAAACATATATCCTTTCATAAACCAATACATGAATCCTGTAATTATTACATATAACAAATCACATATACATATCACATTCAATATATTTATTAATTTCTTTATTAGCCCATGTACACTGTTGAGAAATGAAGGTATGTGAGTACATCGAGGTTGTGCACTAATGTTTCACCACAGTCGATAAGTCCCACTGAGTGGCATATGAAATTATCTCGAATGACCAATGTATTTGTCCTGAATGACCACTATATATGTCCGAAGGACCGCGTATACCCTCGACTCTTGGCATGCCAACTATACCTATAGCTCTCGTATCATATAGCTCTCGTATCATATAGCATGGGCATTATCATTTACATATTTCATATCACTTGTCTTTCTCTTCAATCACATACCACATGTATGTGTAACCATATATCTCATATCAGTGCATTATCACATAGTTTATTTTCATGTAATTCATATCACTTATCATATGATTTCATATCATATGTCACATTCATATAATTCATTCAAATCATGGTCACACATACAATAACATAAATATATCTTATTACCACTTATTTCATTCCCTATGTCCATATCACCTAGCTTCTTTCATATTCCTATAGCTTATATTATTTCTCATGTGTTCATATAAGCACATATTTTGTTCATGTATTCATATATTGTATAGAATGTAAACATATAAAATCATGTCACATATGATAATCATTATATAACATTTTAGGAGTCACTTCCTACCATAGTAACTCCGTCACTAGCTCATAGCAAGCCAATGTTTATTCAATAACATAAGTACAATTTAAATTGCACTCACTTTAGCCTTGCTTTGATTCAATCTAATTCTTTGATTGTTCCAGAACTTATTTAGGCTCAATATCTACATAAACATAATTTCCAAAAACAATTATCAGAAGCCTAAACATTAACTTGATGTTTATAGCTTAAGCTAGTTTAATGAACCAAAATTTCATTTTTTTTCTTTAGGGGGGAATCGATACCCAATTTTCAATATGTTCTAATTTCAATTCTATCACTTCATATCTCTTAATTAAACTGATGATAAGTCAAATTTAACTTCAAATTCAACTTATCAACTCTTTTCCGGAAATTCATTTAGAAACTCATTCTCTTTAATCTTTCATAACTTCTTCATCTTTTGATTTAAGATAACTTAAGCTTTCCTTAAGCTTAGTTATCATCTAATGATCAAAACTAACTCATAAAATCAACAAATAATGATTAACTAGAAACTCATGTAACATCCGCAATATCGGGTTAGCGACTAATTGAAAGTTTTAGAATTTGGTGACTAAAGTAGAAGAATGAAATAATTAATGATTATTGGAAATATATGATGAAGGTTATTTAGTAATTATTAAAGGAAATTAAGGGTAAAATGGTCATTTGACCAGAAAGATTTTATCTTTCTTTAAGGTGAT